CGAAATTCTCGAAGATTCCTCGGAGGATAGCCATGCCGGGGCCTACACAGCTCGTACTCCTGCGGGTGTGAGCGGCTGAGATGATAAAAAAATTAAAAAGTTGGTTGTGTTACCAGACTTCGTTTTCACTGGTTCCCTCCACATTTTACAGATGACTGTGGTTTGTTTTTTGTCCGACTTGCCATGACCGAAATACTGCCAAACTGGCGAACTACAAAAACCCTTCTTTGGAACAATTTCCTCCGCCTCTCCTTGCTGCGACATCTTCATGTGCTCTGAGTTGTGGTTTGAGAGGGCGGCGCTTTATGACGGCGTGCCTGGGTCCGCTACAATGAGAAGGAAGGAAAACTGCGTTTTTTTTATCGAACTTTTATCGACCCGCTTTTTTTCTATTGCACCACACGTCTATCGATCGATATATATCGTTATTGAATTATCGCCCAGCCCTACAAGAAGGCCAGTTGATTGTACTGAGTCATTGAGTCAACAAATATTTTCTGTTCCTGCTTGCTTCTTTCTCCTTGTACCCAAGCTTGCCCAGTCTGTATTTCCAAAATGTGTTCTTAATATTTTGAACTAGACTGGCGACCTGTCCAGGGTGTATCCAACTTCTTGCCCGTAGATAGGCGCCGATAGGCACCAGCACCCCTCGCAACCCCAGTAGGGATAATGCGTGATGGAAAATGGATATTTTGAACTATTCCCTTCAGATTCACTATCCTTTACCAAAATCTGTACATGGAGAAAGAGGGTGAGTTTGCTTCTTGATAAACAAAGGCTTTGAATACAGAATTACAGAGGACATCTACTCCTTACCTTGAAAAACATTTTCATTCACCCACACTCCACACCCACATAAACGGTCTACATACACCCCCACCAAAAGCTGTGCAATTCCTACCCTTCTCTTCTCATCTGCGCTGCCTGATTTCTGAGGAGGATGTGAATTGTTTTTTTAAACATCAGAATTCCTACAAAGCACAAGATGATCTGTGCCCCTACTGATAAGAGCCTGCACTGTCCAACTTGCCTATTTACAGGTGCTGGTCATAAAATTAGAATATCATGAAAAAGTAGATTGATTTCAGTAATTCCATTTAAAAAGTGAAACTTGTATATTATAT